CGCAAATGACGGAAGGCTGGAGGGGAATCAGCCGTCGGTTTTGTGTGAAATCGAAGCAAGAAGCTCTTCTTCACTTACTTCCATAGCAAAAAAGAGTAGACTTAACTTCCGATTTTTTAGAGAAGCTACTCCTTGTATAGGCTGTCCACAAACCACATATGATGCCAGGCTGATTTTATTCCGGCTAACTTAGGACATTGTTTTGGAGAATTTCATTTCATATAAGAGGGTATGAAGAAGAAATTCGTTGGTTGATCTAACCAAAAAACGGTGGATGATCCCGGTTATTTAGCAGCAGACTGCCTTTAATACGATGTTCAGGTTGACGCAATCAACCAGCCAACCTAATTCGTTTTGGATGGAAATGAACTAAGCTTTCGTGTATCTTATGACTGACATCTTTAGAACTGGAACTGATTATCACAAAAACCTCAAGTTAACGCTAGATCAAGAAGACTGCCCGGCTCTATCTCATATATTATAAATATTAATAACTAAAAAACAGAAAAATATAGATATAGAATTATTCGGTTAGCTCTCTCTCTCTCTATGCCTGTTCGTTTTAAAGTTGTGAAAATATATGATGTAAGATAGAGCCCAGTGTTAACTTGAGACTTCTACAAGAATGAGCACCAGTTTTGACGATGTCTATCATATGAGACAAAAACTTAACCAGTTTTCACCCAAAACGAAGGAGGACGTCTTGTGGACCGCGTCAACGTGAGCTTCATCTTCGAGCTAAACGGCTGCAGAACAACAGAAATCGGCAGTCGTCTTTTCGTCAGATCAACCAACGAATCTCTTCATCATGCACTTTGATAGAAAACGAAAGTCTCCACAACAATGTTACATTAAAATATTCATCACAACTTATCTACTCTTCGTATCTAACTTGAAACCTACATAGAACATGATGCTGCATTATATATAAGATGCATTCACTCTATTTCGTTTACGCTTCTTTTGAACTTCATAAAGCCTTGTCTTGCCAAAAGGTATTCCAATCTAGAGTGGACTGCAGTTTCGACCCTTATCACTTTAAACGAAATAGGGTAAATACATCTAATCTACTGGTAGTCTCGAAAACCTACTTATAAAACGAAAACTGATATTGAATTGTTTACAGCCAGAATGACAAATTTAAACATTAAATTAATTCCGACTACTTATTAGTAATGTGAATTAATTTTCATACTTTATACCATAATTTTAGTCATGTTTGAGGACAGCTGAATTCGTTCATCGGAATAAACGCAAGGTTGAGTCCCCATCACCTTCTTTTGTATTTAATTAAACTATGTAATTTCTAAGATATGAAGACGAAGATGGTGTGGCCTTTTGTGTGGCCGCAGACTCTTTTCGTTATATAGAGGTTGTCTGACCTTGTTTTCGCAGCTTGGTCATATTGATAGGAAGACTTAGAGAAACACCCCTAGTACAGAGTCCATTTAAAGCATGATCATTTCCAAAGTCTGATTGTGGACGTGGTACATTCCCTGATTTGTGTGGTGCTAAGAACGGCGAGACTCACTGACGATGCCGACTACGATGCCGGCGAAACGTCTGGAAAAGTACCACGTCCACGGTCCGACTTTGGGAATGATGATGCAGACAATGGACTCCGGACTAGGTGTGTTCCTCTCTCATTCTTGGGCCGAACCGCATAAATGAGTAGATTTGACCACTGTATCACAACGTGATCATGGTTCCAAAGAGGCATCGATGAATTTGCCCAGCCTTCTGCTGTCTTTCAACGATGCATGTGTGCTTTCAGTATCGAAGCATTGATTGGCTTCATTCCGTCAAGTGAGCAACGCCAACCTTAGCAACAGGATATCATTTTTCAAGATGAAAAGTATTTCAAAGTCTCCTTGGAAATCCGACTAAGTTGCGAAGGCGAGGTCAAATGAATTTAATCCCACGAAAGAAGGCTGAAACCATCTTTGTATTCATATCTACCGAACGGTCTGTCGGACTTTGAAGGTTGGTTGTTGGGGTTTCATTATCCTGACACGACGAATAACTTTCAAATAGCTGTCCGAC